TGTTACCTGCATGCCTATCATCACAGATTATGTCCATTGTTCTCCAAGCGCGGTCAACCTGAAAATCCCTTTGTGTCGCCCATATTGTTGTTACAAACATCACAAATACTAAACCTTTTCAGTATACGTTAGTAACTCTACAAACATAAAGACTATCTTTTGACGGGCCTTTTGACAAAAGACGTCGTGCAAGATAAAAGTAATAAAATCAATTAAGCGTGTTATCGGTTAACTCTTTTCTTTCATCTGTGTTTCAGTTTTTAACTCAGTTGATAATTCCTTTTTGCTGCATATATTACATAACATGTAGTTCACTTAGATGACCATCAAGTGAATGATGACAAATAAACGGGTAAAATCGTTTGCATTGCATGCAATATTAATTGCCTACAGAATCTTAGGGAACTACGCTGTGTGGTTTTAAAATAATAGGTCATCAACCATCACATTGTTCTTGATATGATTAAATATCAGGTAATAGTTTTAAAGAAATACACAGAAATAGGATCAAATTGATCGGTCATATACGATCAACGCATCGGAAAATCTGAAAAAAGCTTATACTGACTGCTGGAGTACTTTATTACGGGAAATACATCCACTGTTCTTATTGTTTCATTCTTTAGGTTGAGGAAATTCTACCATGGTTGACAGCTGCCCAGTCCCTGGGTCCGTCACGGTCGAGGTAGCATGTGCTGCAGTCAGACCACATACTAAAATTGTTGTCCCGAAACCGGAAGCGCTTGATTTGGAATGAATGAGGCGTCGCGAGATGTGACGGACATTGTAAAAACAAACAATTTACATAAACACATATTGCAGTTATCAGTGTTTTTCCAAGCTTATGAAGGGTAAGCGACTATTGGCATGTTAACAATAGAAATGAAAAAAGCAACCTAATTGACTACCCATAAGTCTTTGTTTGAAATGCCGCCATCTTTTGTTCAAACGTACACGCGCGAGATTGGGAAAATCTTCGTTGTTGTTTCCAAGTAAGTCTATGAGGGTAAAGGTAGTAGAAATGGCAGTCTGTATACTTGCTATAGTTTTCTTGACACATGGCAACAAACTTGACAATCGAAGCTTTGGAAACAAGGATCCGGGAACTCAAGCGATCTCAACGGAAACCCAAGACAGAGAAATTGGCAGGTAGGTTTCAGATAAAATTAATTATTTTCTTTCTTATCATAGCAGTCAGTTTGCATCGAATTAAACGTTTTCGGTAGGACCGGAACCTTTATCGTACATTAACTGTGCGCTCGCATTTCGATTTCTCCCACGGTTATTAATGTGGACATTGCATTTTGGTGTGAAATTTGTTAAAAAACAACATTATTGTTGATACCAACTGAACATTCCGTTAAAATATAACCATAAGGCAAGTATACCCTTGTGTTCCTGTACGTTGAGTCTGATGTTTATATAATTTTGATTTCCTGCGGCAGCTCATTTTGTTGCTGGGCACAACCAACACCATAACCAAATATTTATTCTTCAGTCATTTTTCTGTGTGTAATTTTGTCTCAGTATTATTCTTTTCTTGTCGGACTATTTCAATTATGTATCCAGCTATATTGGAACCGTGTACTGGAGCAGCGTTTATATAAGACACTTGGCTTGTTCACCTTTCCAGGTTATTGATGGAATAAAAAAATATTTTTAAGAAATTGTTATACATGTATCCAACAAGGCAACAAATATAGATGAAACCAGTAGTTCATGATATTCCGGTGGAAAATATTACCAATCGACATATGTTCATGATCCAAATGTGTGTCTTTTTGTTTTAGGCTATTGTGAGAAGAATCATGGAAAAGTTTCGGAGTACCTTGAAAATCGATTAAAAGTTACTTATTTAAAAGGTAAAAAACTTACCCCCAAGTTTTATTATTGCTCGTCATCATAATCAAGATATATGTTGGGTTTTATAAGATTAGAGACGTCAGTATTACAAAATATAATTAATTCGTTTCTTGTTCACCATTGGGTAAATCTAGCATCTAATTATTTCATTGTCAGGTATCTATTACTAGCAGTAGAATTGACATAGCATACTATTATGTAGTGCATATTTGCTGCATAATCATGTCTGTCATGTTAATAGAAAACTTCTCACGCCCGGGCTGTAATGCATATACATGTAGTTGATATACCACAATTACTTATACATGATAATAATCAAACTTATGAATGTTTGTGTCGGATTGTAATAATCTATTATTGGACGAATGAAAATTAATTCATTTGCTTTTCTTAATAGAAACCTTTTGGATAATCTGGAGGAGCAAGACGGACGATCGACGTCGGCAGACTACAGGAAAGAAAAACACAGGAAAGATGCTAAAAGAAACAAAAGAATCTGATCTGTAAGTTCCTGAAACTGGATAATATAATATAATTTGTACCGGTTTATACACTTCCTGACACCAGTTTAACACTCTGAGTCACTGACATGATGTGCTACATATTATCACATCGCTATATACCTGTAATAGAATAACTTTCCTTATCACATGTCATTACCCATCACCGTAATGTGCCATTATCTAATTAGAACAAGTGCCGCACTCAAGAATAAATGTTGGACATAACTTTCGCAGTGCAAGAATTTCATTTTTTTCCCCAGAAACTCCAACACCTCCTGAAGAATCTAGCTGGGCAGAGAAAAGAACACAGAAGGTGGCTGCAGTCCTAACCCCTAGAATTGACATCGCCAGTGGTGTCTGAAGCTCCAGCGGCAAAATGAAGAACTTGCGACACCATCCAACAAGATTCTTTCCAACCACCTAAAGGTCTTAGGAATAGGATGGAATGTCTAAATGTACATTCAATTATCTCCTGTAGTCACCCTGTTTAGGACAAGAACATCTGTCTCTCTCTCTCTGTCCCTCTGTGTGCTTTGTGTCAATGTTTAATTGAAACATAGATATGATATATATGTTTATGATGAATAAAGAGAAATCGACTGACATGCCTGATTTTGTATTTATTTATTTCTATGTCCATGTGGTGTTGAGGTAACTGTAGTTGAAATGAGTTTATTTTATATTTCAATGTATCATGAATAAAATATATGACCTAATACATTCAAATATATAATACACTCATTTCACCTACAGTTAATTTAGTTGAATAATCATAATTTAATATGGACATATGGTAATCACTGAATACTAATGATTGAAACCAAATGGAGCCATACAGATTCTGATTTACTGAAACTTATGGAACATGGTAAATGTGTTTAATGTTAAGTAAATACAATGTATATGAAACCATCTAAAAGTAGAGGATAAGGGAAACCCAATGGAACCTCATAGGAATCTGCGTAACGGAAACGCACTGGAACCATACAGGAATCTGGGTTACGGAAACGCACTGGAGCCCTACAGGAAAAAGGGTAACGGAAACGCACTGGAGCCTTACTGGAAAGTGGGTAACGGAAACGCACTGGAGCCCTTATTTGAAACTGGGTAACGGAAACGCACTGGAGCCATGCCGGTTTCTGGGTAATTTGTAAGTTTCCGTTTTCCGGAAACCAAGTTATTTTTGCTGTGTTTTACGGATACTGTTGTTGTTGGAGGTTTTACGGATAATGTTGTTGTTGGAGGTTTTACGGATACTGTTGTTGTTGGAGGTTTTAGGGATAATGTTGTTGTTGGAGGTTTTATGGATACTGTTATTGTCGGAGGTTTTACGGATACTGTTGTTGTTGGAGGTTTTATGGATACTGCTGTTGTTGGAGGTTTTACGGATAATGTTGTAGTTGGAGGTTTTACGGATACTGTTGTTGTTGGAGGTTTTACGGATACTGTTGTTGTTGGAGGTTTTACGGATACTGTTGTTGTGGGAGGTTTTACGGATACTGTTGTTGTGGGAGGTTTTACGGATACTGTTGTTGTTGGAGGTTTTACGGACAATGTTGTTGTTGGAGGTTTTAGGGATACTGTTGTTGTTGGAGGTTTTACGGATACTGTTGTTGTTGGAGGTTTTAGGGATAATGTTGTTGTAATGTTGTTGTCGGATAGGTTTGGAATGGATACTGTTATTGTCGGAGGTTTTACGGATACTGTTTTGTCTGTTGTTGTTTGGAGGTTTACGGATACTGTTGTTGTTGTTGGAGGTTTTACGGATACCGTTGTTGTTGTTGGAGGTTTTACGGATACTGTTGTTTGTCGGAGGTTTTACGGATACTGTTGTTGTTTACGGAGGTTTTACGGATACGGATACGTATTTGTTGGAGGGAGGTTTTGTTGTGGATACCGTTGTTGTTGGAGGTTTTACGGATACTGTTGTTGTTGTTGTTGGAGGTTTTATGGATACTGTTATTGTTGGAGGTTTTACGGATACTGTTGTTGTTGTTTGTTGGAGGTTTTATGGATACTGTTGTTGTCGGAGGTTTACGGATGATACTGTTGTTGTTGGAGGTTTTACGGATTGTTGTTGGAGGTTTTGTTGGAGAGTTTTACGGATACTGTTGTTGTTGGAGGAGGGGATATGTTGTTGTCGAAGGTTTAATGGATACTGTTATTGTCGGAGGTTTTACGGATACTGTTGTTGTTGGAGGTTTTACGGATACTGTTGTTGTCGGAGGTTTTATGGATACTGTTGTTGTTGGAGGTTTTACGGATACTGTTATTGTCGGAGACTTTACGGATACTGTTATTGTCGGAGGCTTAACGGATACTTTTATTGTCGGAGGCTTTACGGATACTGTTATTGTCGGAGGCTTTACGGATGCTGTTATTGTCGGAGGCTTTACAGATACTGTTATTGTCGGAGGCTTTACGGATACTGTTATTGTCGGAGGCTTTACGGATACTTTTATTGTCAGAGGCTTTACGGATACTGTTATTGTCGGAGGCTTTGCGGATACTGTTATTGTCGGAGGTTTTACGGATACTGTTGTTGTCGGAGGCTTTACGGATACTGTTGTTGTCGGAGGCTTTGCGGATACTGTTATTGTCGGAGGCTTTGCGGATACTGTTATTGTCGGAGGCTTAACGGATACTGTTGTTGTCGGAGGCTTTGCGGATACTGTTATTGTCGGAGGCTTTACGGATACTGTTATTGTCGGAGGCTTTACGGATACTGTTGTTGTCGGAGGCTTTGCGGATACTGTTATTGTCGGAGGCTTTGCGGATACTGTTATTGTCGGAGGCTTTGCGGAAACTGTTATTGTCGGAGGCTTTACGGATAATGTTATTGTCGGAGGCTTTACGGATACTGTTATTGTCGGAGGCTTTACGGATACTTTTATTGTCAGCCGTTGCAATGATACCATTGTTGGTGGAGGCTTTAAGGGAATTTTCAAGGATACTTTTATTGGTTGAGGCTTTACGGATTCTGTTATTGTCGGACGTTTCAAGGATACTTTTGTTGTTGGACTCTTTGAGGATACGGTTGTTGTTGGAAGCCATATCAAGGTTGCGGATTACTTCACGACGTCTTGCATGGCCACCGAAAATATTTTTCTTTCTTCAAAACCTGCAAAACAGGGCCTGGACAAATCAGACACGAATTCAAAATTAAAAATGATAAGAAACAGTAAACCCCAAATTCCGTTTCATCAAATAGTCCCAAAGCCAACGGCCCATATTCTCTTGCTGAAAATCTGAATATGTATAGAGATTTGTAAAACAAATGCGCATCAAAATTAGATTTGACGCCAAGATTGCATATGCAATACTATAGTTTGCCTGTCAATCTATGATAATGTATATAATATTATGTATTATATAATTTCTGTTATATGTTAGTCTAATCGCATTATTTCCACCTTTGACCATCGTCCCGTTAGAAACGTGAAAGGACATCACATCTATCGAACATCGATGCCAGACACAACAATTTTACCATTTTGGCTTTTTCGATCGGTATCGTGGCCTGATCTGTTTGATGTAAATGCAGCACTTAGAGCTGCGGTCAGGTCGCAGACTCAACACGCAAGACGATAAACCTACAAGATTGCATGTACTATTGACAATTTCATTATCGTGGCTGGCGGCACTCGGCCCTTCAATTTACAAGGTGTACAGTAACAATTCTGATCAAATAGAACATCTGAACACGTCGCTGAGTGGGTTTTATTGAATCGCTTATGTATGAGTGAGTATTGTCTAACGCCGCCGTATTACAGCTGTGTTAGGAATGGTTGGAAGTAATCGAGTGGTCGATAGTATGAACACCGAGGTGTTCGTTCAGGTTTTTGTAACGGTTGGTTAATATCGTCACCAATTGTGACGACCCTACCCATCTCCTTTTGGTCTTTCACACCTCATAACCATATTATCGTTGCAGTGTACAAACATAGTATTTACTGCTCGGGCGGTTTGGTTGCCCTGTGGCGAAATTGTTCGTTCCTCACACCTGTGAAGATCCAGGTTAGAATTGGTCCTTACAATCCATGCTTGTTGTAAGAGGCGGGATTGGATGGAGAGGTTCGCTGACACATGTCATCGTATCCCAGTTGCGTAGATCGATGTTCACTGGATTGTCTGGTCCACGGGTGAGTATTTACAGACCGCCGCCATATAGCTGAAATATTGCTGAAATATTGCTGAATGCGGCGTTAAACAACAAACCAACTAACCAACCTAGCACAATGACGATGTTGTGCAAGCGAAACCAATGCTTTAACCCCCGACGTTGCTCTAATGCCGTGCATTTAATAAGTAGCCAATTAAATATATGAAGTACATAATTATCTTATCTGTGAAAGGACGAAAAAGCAAATTTAGGGGGCTCCACGATCTGTTTAGTTTCGTCAAGAAATCTAGTCAAACATTTGTTTTCTCTGAGTAGAATTTTAAACATCTACTCTACAGGATAAACAGCCTCGTTTATCTGTTGAAACAGATAACCTTGGACGTAAGTAGTTGTGTTGGTTGGTATCACAGGAACGTAAAATGGGTTTCTGGTATTTTTGGAACACATTATGTTGTCGATCAAATCACAGGCTTCGACTATCCAAAGGACGATCCTTGAAATGGATATGTACACGTACTCCTTCAAGAGGGCCTTAGTTATCATATCTCTTTTCCTTTTCAGTTACTGTTTGGACGTCAACGCATCTCTTCACTATGGATAACCCTAACGTGAGTAAATTAAGTGCTCATGATGAACAAGAACGAAAGGCTTCCCCTTCTGACGGAGTTGTGTCCCCTTCCGGAAGTCTAACATTATCAGATAGTTACGTGACCCCACCCGAGGGGTCCTTTATCCCGCCGTCCGGTCACCTGCGCAGTGGAACACTTGACAGCTTCCGGAGTATATCAACCGATACCTTTTTCACGCCTCCAGGATCGGAGAGCTCCAGGAGTCGATACGGTATCAAGGACATCCTCAGCACCAGGGACAACGGCGACGATTCCAGAGACGAAAATGTCAGCTACATGCTCCGGGACTCGTCTGATTCTCAAAAAACAGTTAAAAGTGTTGTGTTGGCGAATGGAAAATTGAAATCCGATACGATGAAATCGGACCCTACTACCCCTGTGTCGTCATTTCCGGATTCGAAAGGGGAGACAACCCCCGAAGATCAAAGGGGAGAAACCTCTGACACCGAACAGTCGACACTGAAGAGAAGAAAAAGTGTTTCTCTTCCTCTTGCTTCCAACTCTACGGGGGAGAAGTCGCGCGAGGAGAAGATGATCAAGACGCCCTCGAGCTGCGTGACCACACCCTCGGACAAGATGACCAGTGCTGCAACAACACCGGAGGAGACGTCCCAAGCCAAGAAGTTCCTCAAGGGTGGCACCAAAGCACTTCTGATTCAGAAGGTAGGGCCGTTACTATACTTCATATATTTTAGCTAGATTTACTGCATGCATTGTGTAGTTTAGTTTAAGGTGGTCATCGAGCACTAATTCAAATTGCTGCTTATTCCCCAAACGATGCTTGCTTGTTGGTAATCGTGTTTTTCGAATATTCGTCTTAATTGATAGTTATAATACTGGTGTCATGATCAGAACGAATTGTCATTGTTACATCACGTGTGGTCTTCCGACCTTTAGGTATGGCTACATTAAATGTTTCTTCATACAGATGACAAATTTGATTGTTACTGTACTGCGTGTTCCCCTGGACTCTGGAACATAACGTTGACCTCCTGGAACACGTCAAAACAAGGAAGCGACCTGCTTTTCTCTGTGTTGTAATTTGCTGTCGGGTCACAGTGACCTTTGCTGCTGTCTTGCCGTCCACTGAAACGTATTGAACGAGTATGAAACAGACAAACACCATTGTCTCAAAGTTGACGGAACATACGTAAACACTTCGAGTAACCCGACTTTCGTCACAAACACAAAATGGCAGAGTCATTTACTTCGAGACAATCGTACGTTCGATACATCCAAGTTGACAATACGGTGTGTGACTGCATTTTGATATTATCGGTAGGGCGCTGCTGGTGCGAATAAGCAGTAACAATGCATGAGATTAAAGAATACGAAGTGTCCAGAACAAATTTACGGGCGAGAAAATACGCCCATCGCCGGACTGCGTATACGATTGTATCAGTGTATTGACAAATGAAGTCTTGAAGAATGAACAGTGTGACGAAGTCCTTACTGGTATGTGGGTAATTTATAGTCGTTATTGATTCCATTTGTTTCTGCATTACGGAACCAGATTGTAATCTGACTCGGTTGTATAACGGGTACCCGGAAGTGCGAGTTTGTGACGAGGCTGAAAACAGAGAGCAGATAACTGAATGTATGATTTCATGTTGAGAAATACTGTGATTATATCAGTGATATCATTGAGTTTTATTCACGTAAGAATAACAATATTAAATAAGGATCCGTTAGATTCTCTGTGACCACAGTGTGAAACACTGCTATTGTCCATATATACTCATGCCAATAATGGTTGTCACCCCCTCCCCCACCCCAAACCCCACACACCTCCTCACCCCTTATCCCAACACCCCTCCAATTAAACAAATTGAAGGGGGTGACAACCATTATTGGCATGAGTATATCTTTGGAGCAATTTTATAACAGGGAAACAGTCAATTGATTAATCAAACATGTATATACAGATGTACTCAACTATAACATTACACGTGTAATGTCAGCACGTGGGTTTCGCTGTTTCGTTGTGATATTCGGTGAACTTGGTGACTCTTAGAATTGTGGTTAATCGCACCCAAAGGTATTACACGCTGCTGTCATTGTCTGTGCGGAGTTAAAAAAACAAACCCATACTTGGCGACATTTCTCGCCAAACGATAAAACCGATAATCGGCGATAATGGGAGCTCACTGCATTGACAGTGTTTGTTTATTTTATGCTTTATAAGCACTGGACACGAGAACATTGACGTAGGGAGTCGAACCAGGGCGTTCGGCGAGACTAGGAAACAAGGTACCCCTATATTCCCAATGATCATTATGATGATGATGATTATGATGATGATCCGAGATAAGCTGACTGACATCTGCCAGTCACAATACATCTACGACAGCGACCCCTTTGCCCCAAATCATCGAGGATATGACGATGCCTTGATGGGTATGATACTTTGACGACGACGCTGGTGAGGATGACGACGACGACGATGATGCTTCCAAATAAGCTCACTGACGTCTACATGCTAGTACACGTTTATTGCACTAACGTCAACGTTCTGAACGGTGACATGACAATGATGATCTAACGACGTCGACCATGATGATAATGATGATGACGACGACGATGATGATGGTGATGGTAATGATGATGATGATGATGATGATGATGATGATGATGATGATGATGATGGATGATGATGACCATCATCATCATCACAAATAAGCTGACAGACGTCTATATGCCCTTACACGTCTACAGCAAATGTTAACACTGCCTCCGTGATTCGAGATACCGGCGGCTGAAGCCAACACTCTCTGTAAAAATGTCATATTATGATTACTCAGAAAGATTTCAAGCAACTGCAAGCTTATTTATATTACAAATGGATCTCGTGCATGGAGGGTTTCTTTCAATCCCGAGGGAATTGATTGAATAATTAGATTGTTGAACATTTGTTCATTAGGAACCAGCTGTCGAATACAGGCGGGTTAGGTCATAAAAAATATCTCGTTAAACTCTACTTTCCACACGTTAACCAAAAAGTCATTTTTGGATTAAGAAAATACCAACCGTCTATTATAACTTTTCAGCTTGCATAGGAATTTGTCACATTTCTTTCATTCCTCTCGCAAAACAATGGCGGCGCGTTGTTAACAGACAAGGAGGCGATGACAGCGACACGAAAAAACATAAGATTTCCATTATCCGACTAAATTAAATTTCGACTTTTTAAAAGCTAATTTAGCCTTGGGTGTTTCACTGCATCGATTTTATTCCAAATCCTGAACCGTTTTAGTTGGGCGCTGTGTGACTTTTAGTGTGTTACGGCTGAAAGGTGGACGAGT